GAATCGAAAGACGTCGTGTAAAAATGATAATTTAATATTGAACGATGGAGGGACGGTCGCGCCGCGGTGGCAGACGGCGGCTGGTCGAGGGAGACTCATGCGCAGTGCGGTGTCGACTTGTCGAGGAGAGACGTACCAGAGACGCGACGTGGTGACGGCGCGACTATACGGACGCTGGTCGGTGTCGCCAACCGAAGAAGAGGGGCCGTAGAGAGGGAGGATGGCTCACCACATTGTTGTTGGTATTGTTGTTGTTGTTGTTGTTGTTGTTGTTGTTGTACAACACGTACCGCTCGGCGGCGGCAGCGGCGGTGGCGAGAGAACGAAGCGGTGACCGGTCGTGATAGAATGCGTTCGTCGCCCGCGGTTTACGGGATCGGCGTTCGCGGTGGGGCGGTGTGCTCCGAAAACGCTAAAATATTATTATTACGTGGATGAGGGCCACCGGCCCTGTATCGTGTTTCGACGACTTTCGACATGGACCGGGCCGTGGATGTGCCGCCGTCCAGACGGTACCTACCGTATGGTGGCACCCTCTATAGTCGGCGGCCGCTAACCAGGAATAATATAATATCATGTAAACATTTACCCAGTGTTGGGGAGTAACTTAACTTAAGTTACAAGTTACTGTAACGAAATTACTTTTTAAGTAATTTGATGGTAATTTAATTACATTTTATTGTAAGTAATTTAGATGTAATTTAAGTTACTTTTTTGTAGTAATTTTTACTAAATTACTCGTTAATTTTTTTTGGATTAATACATTTTTTAGAACGTACCTATTGATAATATTGTGTGTAGGTAAATATTAAAATATATCATAATATAACTTATTAGTAGGTAGGTATTTTAATTTATAGGTAAAATTGTATGAACTGTAGGTACTATTTTTGTTATAGCTATTGAGTATTGACAATTCGACTATAAAGTGTTACTTTTAGAATGGAATTCTTATCTTTACTCTGTACTGTGTTGTATCGTCGCGGACGGCCACGGCGTCAGCGTCTGCGTATACAGCATTGTTGGAACTATCAATAAATAGTAATAATAATAAAAGTGAGGGAGACGGAGTGGCCTAGCGGACTAAGGCGTTGGCAACGAGCACCATCGCTGGTTGGAATCTCGGTAACAGGCAGACTACGGGTGCCCAATTTGAAATTCTTTCAAGCTAAAACACACGTGTTTACAAAAACCTACCGTACCCTCCCCCTTAGTTAAAAACCACCCAATTGCTAATTAATTGCTAATTAATATAAAAAAAAAAAAATTAATTAGTAAATAAATGTGTGGCTTGGCTGCTAGCTACCAGTCGCGCAATACGACTGAGATTAAGTTGCGCCCGCTGTTACTAGTTCCCGGATGGGTGACCACCCGGATTCGTAGTAGTAAAAACCTTGCCACACTTACACGTGTTTGCATACATACCGTAACAACACCTTACCATACCAACATTACCAACCACAGTTCATAATCCCCTACAACAGCTTATGGCCATATAGTTTCCGGGCTTAAGTTCAATAAAAATAATAATAATAATAGTGTAGCAAAATGAGTATCTGCTAATAATTTCACATTTTTGATTGGTATTACCTATTTAGTTTATGTATTGTTATATTGACAACATGATTATTAAGCTCCAGTGATATTTTTGAAAAAAAGTAACTTCTATTGTAATTCAGTTACTTTTTAAACTCAAAAGTAATGTAACTTAACAAATTAAAAAAAAAGTAACTTAAAAATAATTTAGTTACAATTTTGATAAGTAATTAGTAATGTAATTTAATTACCAAAAATAAGTAACTTCCCCAACACTGCATTTACCTACGTTGTGCGTTCAAGTTTCCACACACACGATCAGCGGCATAATTTGGTGGCGGGGGGGGGGGCATTCGTAACCAGTAAGTAGTAACTATTAAATTCGGTAGAATACGATTGAAAACGGAATTTTTGGTAACACGATCGAGAACGCTCGATATTTTATTTTTTTTCCAACGTTGCCAAATTTAATCGAATGATAATAATTTGAGCACGATCAGCGGCGTATTTAGGAATTGCTAAAGGGAGGGGATGAGGCACTGAATGACATATGTAATAGTGGGGGGCTTTGCCCCCCACACCCCCCTTTGAGGTTTCCTATACTTACTCACTACATACTGTACAGTTTAAATAACATTATTAACATTTAATACCAATTGTTAATCATTAATTTTAGTTTATAACAATAACATATTGATTATTTTTCATTAAATTTGAAATAAATTTCAATTTTTAATTTACACTCAAAAAATATTTTTAGACAATTCACTCTTTAACAATTACCATCCTACTTTCACCACAATAATAACACATAACACAATAATACATTTAGTATAAAAATAATAGTATCATAGATATTTATTTTTACTATAATAAATAATAATAATTACATACCTACTCATACTTTCATTACTTTATACTTATAATACAAAATCAAGTTTTCTTTGTTTTATTGCTAGTTCATCAATTACTTCGTCAATACTTAGTAAGCGCTAGTCCATTAAGACGTTCCTAAGGACAATACAAATAATTAATAATGTATAACATTATAAATTATAATTCTGTATAGCAATATTAGAAAATAATATAAGAAAAACCTCATTCATTGAATTTCAGCAGTAAGATTTTAAGCGTTTTAGTGTGGAAAAGCTCCGTTCTGGTGTTGCTGTAGAAACAGGCAAAGTAACTAATATTTTAAATAAGAAATGGATGTTTGGATAAATATCTTTATTGCAGTTTTGTAAGGCTTCTAATCCATTTTTAGTAAGATTTTCACAGCTTGAAGCTAATTTGAGTTTCCACATTTTCAGTTCAGCCAAAACATTGTGTTTATCGACAACAGGAGAATTTAAATCAATTAACTTTTGAAATTCTGTTACTATGTTCCACGACGTTTTGCTGACTTCACGTGAATAGAACTATAGCCACCCCTGCCTTGACTACAGTCGTGTCTAGCTGGTACGTCGAGTGCAGCCCGCATTTATACAGAAAACGCACCATTTAGGACATTGAGTTTGAGTAGCGTAATAATAACAGTCTATTAATAACCTTATAATTGATTTTTTTTCTTACTGTATGTACAAAAATGAAAAATACATAGTAAATACTAAAAAAAATTGACGATTCAGTGTCTATATAATATGTATACTTGAATCCTTTAATAAAAAATACCAAGGGGGAGATTGATCCCCCAAATCCCCCCCCCGTAAATACGCCGTTGAGCACGATAATATTAATTGTTGATATTTAATTAACAATATATTATGTTAATTGTTATTAAAATTCCGACTGAGACTCAAGCAGAAACAATATTGAAAATAGCTATGATAGTCAATGAGTACTAATATGTCTATGCCCTATCCATATGGGAATATCCAATAGGTTAAGTGGATTTAGGGTCTTAGATAATTTAAAATTGTTAGTAATTACTAATGATCTATCAATACAAATAATTTGTAAAAATGATTTAAGTATAACGAATACTACATTAAAACATTACATATAGTATATTTAAATAGTTTTAAATGAATTATAACAATTTGGTGACTTTAACATCAATTTCAATGATAAGAAATCGGAAACTTTTAAAACTTTCTTTATGGACACATTCAATTTACATAATATGATAAACAATCCAGCAGAATCTACAACGAGATATGACACCACTATCGATGCAGTATCTTCAAGATTTTTTTTGAAAAATTAAATCACAAACATAAGTATCAAATTTCAGTTATCACAGGCATGTAATTTCGATTATTGAATAATATGTTTAATATAATAGTAGGTAATTAAAAAGTAATAATAATCATTTTCATTTTTGTGTGCGTGTGCGTGTGTGTGTGTGTGTGTGTGTGTGTGTGTGTGTGTGTGTGTGTGTGTGTGTATGTGCGTGTGTGAGCGTCAAGAGCTAGGAGGCCATATATATTGTTTTTGTAACGACCACCCGTCCAACCATGATTGTTCTCATGTCACACATCCATTGTTATTATATTTTTAGTTTGTCATTTTGTGTCAATATATTTTGTCAATACCTAATTATTTAAAAAAAAAAATAGTGTGTGTTACCAGTGCGCGCGAGGGAAGTGAAACTTATTTTGAACGGTAGGTACACGTGAGTTAATATAAATTAATTTAAAAGTTAGAGAAAGTTATCCGGAATTATTTATTATTGATACTTTTATTATTTTTATTTTTATTCGACAGATCGATGGATAATTGTTTGTAGTATTGTTTTTGTCCAGGTAAAAGGTTTGTGAGTGAATTAATCAACTAATAACAATTAATTAAATATACTAGATGCTAACTGATATTGGGCTCTCAGTATAGACGGTATAATAATCGATCATTAATTATTCATATTATTTAGTATGGGCCAAGATAGATGAATTTGTTTTTTTATTTTGCAACGTTTAAATAATATTTATTCACAGCAAAAAACAGTCACTTAACTAAAGCGGCTCACGACCACCACTTAACTCGCAACGATTGTACCTCTTGATTTTTTTCTATTTGATATTAATTAATAAATTCACTCACAAATCTTTTTTCTGGATAAAAACAATACTACAAACGATTGTCTATCGATCTGGCTGACTTAATCACATTTTTTGGATTAATTAATAATAATACCGAACTGCGAACTAACAAACATTTCGAACGTCAGTATACAATGTTTTACAAATGTATTACAAACTATTCATTACACTGCACTATTATTATTTAAGTCGTACGGTAATGAATCAATAACAATCTTCGACCAAATTATACCGTTAAATAAGTATTAATCAATAGATACGGTCAATAATTTGTAACCAATGTTAAACAAATGTTATTGTACTTTTTTTGGAAAACTCAATATTATAACACTAATCGCACCGCTCTTAATCTAAAAGTATAAAATATATACGATATGTATATGAAGTAGATACGCATCTAGATATGTAGTTTGAATCGTGAAGAGGTCATTCTTTTATGACGATACCAACACAAATTTGGATATAATATGTTCTAAGTGAAGAGTATTGTGTGAAACACCGTGTAGTCGTCGATAAAAGCGCTAATGACGTATCAGAAACTGTATCTTTCGGAGGCTGAACGTTACAATTTAACCATTCTGACAACCAAAAAAAAATCGATGTACTATTGTGCCTTTCGCTCAACATGATGGATACAGTAAAGCCGTATTTCTTATCATCATCATAGGCAAGAGCTTCATATAAGAAAACGTGTTTTGTTTTTTCTCGTCCAAATTTCGTAAAAGGTTTAACGACTGATCCCGTAGCATCAATAATCAACTTCGGATAACTAACATTTCCACAGTAGTTCCGATAAATATGAATTTGTTTGTTACAATGACAATATAAAAATAATGGATGTACTCCCATACATAAGTATGATCGTGAACTCTGATGACTTTTTGTTAATTTATAAACAACTTCTTTTGGTTGGATTTTTTGCCATTGGTCAGCTGATAAAGTAAATATGAAATTTTTTCATTGTATATCAATATCATTTTCATTACTTATTTCTTCGTATTCATCTAGAGACAAATGTTTTTAATTATTTTATTTTATTTTCATCATATCTGTCATCTAGATATTTAACCTCTGAAACAAATCGTATTTTTTAACTTATTTGTAATAATTTGTATATTGTAACCTCAAATTAAACACAATTAAACGTAAGTACTCAAAAAAAATTGGAAATATACAAACTAATATTAGTTAACAATTTAATAAAAATTTGGTGAAATGTTATAACTACTTGTTTTTTTTTTTTGAAATTTATTAAAGTTTAATTAATATGAGTATATCAAGGTATTATATTATATTATGTACACTTTTGATATTACGTATTTTTACGAATTATAATCAGATACAGTATAATAATAACATTATTATACTGTCGCCGGGCTACGTACGCATTCATCGTACGTGAGCAGACTGGTAGTCTGCTAGCCTGGTTGTCTGAGGCACTTAAATTTACCATCTTCATTGTTGGTGGGTCGGGAATCGACCCTTTTGTAAAACGGAAGCCGTTTAGGATAAACGGTAGCCTAATGCCCTAATTGTATTATTGTACAGCTGCAGACTGCCGCCTCCTGCAGTGACGGTCGAGGCCACCCGTTCGTTTACACGCTCGTAAATAACAGCTGTCGTCACGAGCCCCGCTCCGTAAGTAGGTATGCAATAAAACGTCATTGTTAAATACACGATATAAGTTATCTATATGGACGATAGCGTTTATAAGCGATTGACAAACATATATTATATAGATACACGCGCATAATGTTATGTATATAATCCAGCGCGACGGTAGTGGCGAGAAGCTAAGTAAAAAAAAATAGCGGAGTTGCCACTAACGTATAATAACAGGACACCGAGTTTTATCATTGAAAAATCGTCCTAATTTATGTAAATTCTTTGCCAAGCTCTACAGGGCAAACGGCTTAACATATAAAGTCGTATGAGGTATCGACCGATCATAAATATTGTGCAGATGGGAACTACAGAGGAATTCGCTAGCAGATTGGTTAGATAGTTTATAAGTTATGAGCAAAAATGTTCAATTACTTTTAAGACCGATTTTGAGCAAGGAACAGTGGTGATGGATAAGCGGTGGGTCGGGGAACGAAAATACCGTAAATATTCGCCGACCCGCCGCTTATCCATTCACACTACTCTCATCGCGGCTACGACGACGATGACGACGTACGGCGATTACCTGTCTCTCGGATACCGGTCGCCGGCAACCATTTAATATTATTCTATTTCAGCAGACGAGTGACGACCAGCAAGATAGTATATAGATTATAGATACTCAACGACTGCGACTGTTTAGTGAATCCAGCTCGACGGTATTATATTATTATGCTGAAAACTTGAGACAATAATAAAATAAAATAAGCAATCTGGTGAATACCCGTGGCAACAATTAAGGTCGATGGCAAATCGTATGCTCTTAATCCTGTGATTTGCCATCATGGTCCATCTATGACTCAAGTATCAAGCCCATTACACATCAGTTATTAAACATAATAATGAAATTTGGGTTAGAGGTAAACGATATAATATTTATATTATAGTTTTAGAAAAAAAAAAATTAAAATAGAAAAAAAGATATAACAACAGGTCGAGGCCTTTGATGCATATTATGCTATTATGGATTATTATGATTATTATATACAGTCAAATAAAATCGAGACTTATTTCATAAAAAAATAGCTGATATCACACCAAAAAACACTTCGTTATAACTCCGTGTAAAAAAAGCTAAGTTAAAAAAAAATGTATTAATGATTAAATCTTTAAAATACCTATGATGACAAATAAGATCAATTGTAATGTTAAATACTTAGTCAACATATTATGTTTAGCTATTTGGCAGGACATAAAAGTATACTTAAATAAATACAATGAAGTAATCACCATAGTATTTACAGTAATTAATAATAATATATCAACAATATGTTGACTAATAGTATTTAACATTACAATTGATCTTATTTGTCATCATAGGTATTTGTAATATTATACACTGTAATTTTACTTAATGTCCATATTATATCACGTCTATTAAAGATTTAACCATTACTACATTTTTTTTTTAACTTAGCTTTTTTTTTACACGGAGTTATAACAAAGTGTTTTTGGTGTGATGTTGCATACATATTATAATTTATAAAATATTGATCAGTATGCTTACTTCTAAGGAAGAAATTAATTAATTTAATTAAAACTCACAGGAACAGCGGTATATGGCACTCTAAGAATTTATAATTTACAGATGGGTAGGTAATTATATAGTTAGTACCAGAAGCTATCTGGAATATGTATTATATTTGAAATATTAAGTATTAACTATATAATAATATGTACAGTTTGTATGAGTTTGATCTCAATGGTCAAATTTAAAGTTAAAATATCAGAGAAAAAGTATTGAACCTAAAGTTCAAACAAATATAAGTTTTTGTATTTGTTCTTAAATACTTACTGAAAAAAAATACTATAAATACTATTTAAGTTGATGTATTTGTATCTCTATTTAAATACAAATTAAAAGTATCTTTTTACAATATCGCTGGTCAAGAACGTATTGTTTAATACGTAATTGTTTCGTGTTATATTATGTGGTAGTAAAATAACTATTTCAATCTAGAATAATCAATATATTGTACGTTTACGTTAAATAAATAAATATAATATGCTTGGTTTTTGTAGCTTATTTTGAATAACTATAAACATTACATTTATACCTATAGGTACACAGACAGTCAATATTGCTTCATGCACTCCCGTAGTCTCGGGCATATACGAATGACAGCTATAGTCTACGTTATAAATTTATAAATAACAATACCTAATAAATTCACTTCAGGTGTATCAATTGGATTTCTTGATATTATTATATATAATATAATACGTTACCACCAAAATGTGCAATCGATATAGAACTAGTTCTTATAGTATTTCATTAATTTATATTTTAATATTATTATTTAAAAATAAATTATATTTATATTATTAGTAATATTGTGAACTTTATGCTATATTAAATTACCTATATAAAATATTATAATAAAATTAGAATACATTTTTTTTAGCTTAACCCCCCCCCCTATTTTGTAGAGTCAGCATAGTACCTACTTAATAATTTATTATTATATCTGCAAAATTACATTAAAAATACAACATCTAGGACTTCACCAAATAGGTATGGTGTGATTTTAGTTTATTAAATTTACCGAGTTCGTTACCAAATGTATTCATTTATATTTTCCATTATTAAGTTGTGTTTTTATGTACTGTGAATTTTTTTTTTGTTTTCTTTTACCATGTTAGTGTTTTTATAAAAAAAATGTATATTTTACATCAGCACTATAATTATTATTGGTATTTTATAAAACCGGACTCGACAAGAAGATAAATATGAGCTCTAATATTTACTACGATAACTATAGGTGGTCTTAGGATTTTAATTTTGAAAGGAATTTAGTCTCGTATAGGTACTTACCTACAGTTTAAACATAATTTAACAAGCACGTGGCTGATGGGTCATTCGCTGTCTTATTATTTAACTAAAAGCTGTTTTGAATAAACCTGGTTTATCAAATCTATCCTAGTGCACCTATAATTGTATAGCTAATTTTAATTACTGCAATCTAAACTACGACCTGCAGCCACGTCTTAATTGGTTGACGGAATATGACTTCACGGGCGAATTACGGCACGCTAAGTACTGTATGTTGGCAGCTATTTTAAATCGAGAAAAAATAATTCAATTAATTGAAAACATTACTTTGCTTTACTGTACTTTAAACACTAGATATAAATGTCAAACTTAAAACAATTCACTGTAGAAATATTACAATATATAAACAGTGTTGGGAATTATCTAGATAAGATTTTTTAAGATAAATTATCTTTTACAGTATCTAGTTAATTATGTTAAGATTTATCTAATGTTTAGCTTTAATAAAAAATGGGCTTTATCTAGACAAATATTACAGTTCCATTACAAAATTATAAAACCAATGTTACTAAAATTCTAATATAATATAAATTATTTAAAACAATAATTAACAATATAAATTACAATAAAAAACAATAAAAATAAGTGTAAAAAAATGATATTTATCTAAATGTTTATCTAGATAAATTTATTGTTGTATTTATTTTTATCTAGATAAATTACATTTATGTTATCTTTATTTTTATCAGGATAATATTTTAGATTCTGAGTGGGACGATGAATGGATTGATTTTACAATGATATGTGTTTTTTTTTTGGAACGATTTTTTTTTTTAAATATTATTTGTGTCTGTGTACACGATAAGTAGTCGAAATAATGCTTCCATTTCCAACTTCAGTATCTTGTTTGATTGGAAAGTGTATATCGTTGGTGTATTGAGGAGGCCAAAATTTAAAATTTCCAATAATTTTCAAAAGCGCCAAGAAAAACAAAAGAAAAATTAAGGATAAACAGGAATTATTACGCAAAATCGATTTTTAACAAAATCGAATTAGGTTTTTGGTGTAACTTTAAAACAAATTACCGTAGATACACAAAACTTTCACAGGTTGTTTATATTTGCATTTTCTATACACGATAACATTTTAAAAATATTTTGATTTATTTTGAACTGTTAAGGGACATTTTCAGTTTCCAATTTTATTAGTTTTTTTTTTTTTATATGAATATCAATACAATTTTATTTATTGAGTAAAAATACTTGAAAATTTAATAGAAGGCTTCTAGTATATTGTTTTAAAGGCAGATGAAAAATATTAAAAATGCATAGGGACAATTTTTTTTATAAGCATTTAAAGACCGAATTTTGACAAAATTTATTAAATTTAAAATTGAATAATTATTTTGTAGTTA